AAGAGCATAGTTTTTTAAGAATAAATCAAGATCGAACGAATCAATGCACTTTTCGAATTCAGTCAAATTATTTTTATAACGAATGCTTTTTACAACAAGCTTTTCATGACATGATATCTTGTTGCTAATTTTTTATGCACGATAAACAATATAAGAACATTTCTACATTAAATACAATTATACAACCATTATAGCATTATCAACAAAGTTAGAACAATAAAACCAATTCTTTTCTTTTACACAGTTCTTTTTTTTTTATTAGCATTTAAATTAATCTCTTATTACACTTGAAAGATATATAAATGCAAATATTAGCTTGTGAAAACTGGAAACGATACAATCTTATTAAAAGACTATTTTGAGAAAGCATTCGCGTTCGACTAGTACTAATGTCACATGAATACGCATGCTATTTAGAGATTCATATGAATTTCTGACTGATTAAATTTTCTTGCTGGAGAAAGTTATCGATATTGTCTGAAACTAATATTGATATTAAATTATCAGCTCTTGTTTTATTTTTAATGAATGACTAGACCATTCAGCTCTAGTTGAACTAAAATATGAAGAAGAAATAGGAAATGTTTGGAACTACAATTTGCACTGATACTTAGAAAATAAAACAAATAAGAAACCATTATCTAATACAACTAACTTATGTCAAGTTACTTCCTTTTTTACCAACAAAAATAAAGATTTTTTTTTAAACGTCCTTATCAATATTTTTGTTTTAAATATCCTTCTAAGTGCTAAAAAAACCTTTTGAACAAAGATAACATAATAGAAAATATATATAGTTTTTTTTTTTGTGCTTAATCGCTTATGTTTAATGACCTGTGTATCAAATAAAAAAGTTTTTTTTTAATATACGATCGACACGTATCTATTCTTCATCAGTGTGAGAGTCAAACAAAAAAATAAGAGGAAATAAAAAAAAGAGTATAATTAACGTCGAAGCATAAATAATTACAGCCTATTTTCGATATTTTTCAGACTAATAAGTTTTTATTTCTGACTGTCAATCATGCTTATAAAGACTTTAGTCACGATCCATACCTATTTTATCTATTATTACTCCATCCCATTTCAGATTTAATTGCACAGTAAAATAATCAACAGCAACAACAGAAGTTCCTCTTTTTTTTTGTTTTGACCCATCTTGATCATAGTACCCATTTTGATTAGGTCAAATGTGGCAACATGACTTAGGTTGATTATTAATTCTTATGATTAAATTAATCTTTTTATTTAGTAAAGTGTCACATATTTGGAATGAAAAGATCTTCGCTAAATAATTCTTCTTTTATTTTGTTTCTTTAAAGGAATTTGTTCCACATCAAGGTGTGGTAGGAGCTATATGGTTTCGTTATGATATAACGGTAAATATGAGATGACTTTTAAGTTTATATGTCGTCAATTTGTTGTTTTTCATGTAGCCAATAACAGTTAAATATACTGAACGTCGACAAAAATTGTATACATTTATAACATCAATATGTGCTGTTGTTGGTGGTTCATTTACAGTAGCAAGTATTCTGGATTCAATAATATTTACAGCAAGTGAATTATTCAAAAAATTTGAACTTGGCAAAACGACATAAAATTATTTAAAATTATTTAAATCAAAGACACCAAAAATCTATTTACTCTTTCATCAACGAACTTATTTTCTAGTTTTATTTCTCTCTTTTTTTTCGTCATATTTACTATTTATTGTTTTTTTTTAGACTAACTTATAGTTTTATTGAAGAATCTCGTAATAAATAATATCAATCTTGTTTTTAGTTATATTTTACTTTATGGTCACTATTGCATGTATAGATATATGATATATATCAAAAAAAAAAATAATGAGATTATTATTCAAAATGTCATTAGATTTGCAAAAGTATGCACAATAGATTTGTATGAATCGATCGATAATGAATATTATTGTTTAAAATTGTGAAGTAAATTATTTCATAAAAAGCAGTGTAGATCAGTTGGCATTGACATATCGAGTGTAGATGATCAACTTTCTGTCAAAAATTGATAACCCAATGCTTTTTACTCATGGAAAGAAAACGAAAAGACAACTTCTGATGTTTCATCGAAATTTATCAATGGTTTCTATTACTGGCGTACTTTTATTTAACATAATACTTTTTGTTCTCTTATGTTGTTTAGTTGTTAGGATAATGAATTTTGTGTTTGTTGATAAAACTTTAAAATAATTTTACAATTGAATTGCATTTTACAACTCTTTTTGAAGAACATGATGGCACTGATGTTGTTCACCTGTTTCCCATCGCTTGATTACTTTGTAACCAGTACCTCTTTAGTATTTTTACAGATGGTTGAATCCTCATTATTATATGCATGAAGAAATACTCGTCGTATAAATGAATGGTTTTGTCAATGATGAAATGAGTCGCAGTAGGAATGCTATCAATAATGAAATATATCACAGTAGGAAATGAAACTCAACAGCAAGAATCGGTAATCATTATTGTCAATATCTCAATTAGCCATTTAATCATATCGAAATATCAATATTCAATAAAAATATATTTATGAAACAATGATTTGTAAAAAAGAAAAAGCAATATACAAAACATTTCATATTTAAGTAACAGGAAATTATGAAATGACTGACAGCATGTTGTCTTTGATTGAATAGAGAAACAGCAAGCTAAATTAGTGTGAATATTCATACGCAGTGTTAATATTAAAAACCATACTTACCGAGTAAATATACTTGAAGTTCATCATATAGCATAGTTTTATATATCCGGAAGGCAAAATGGATCGTATTAAAGTGAAAAAGTCACTTACTGTCATGAGTTCCTCTGGATACATCTTTTATAATTCAAAAACGATTAACTGATTCCAGCTTGCATCAATCTCAATGTTTACATACTTTTTAACATCCATTTGCATATATAACTTAAGACTACTATAGAATTCTATTTTATTAAATAAAATGAATATTTAAATATCAATATGATTATTTTTTCATAAGAAATGTTTGTCTTTTTTTTCAAAAGAAAATATATAAATAAAAGAAAACACTTTGTTGCAAAATAATCATCATAGTGGTGGCTAATTAAAATTACCAGTTGATGTTTGTCTGTCATTTTAAACTCTAATTAACATCATTATCATTATCTCTCTTTTTTCTTATTACTTTTTTTCTTCTTGTCTTCTTCTCCTACTCCTACTCTTCCTTTTTTTTTTCTTCTATTGTAGTCATTTTTTTCTGTTGCTTCCTTATAATCACTGCTATAATTTTGTTGGCAAGTGTTGCACTACGAGAGAAAAAAAAAAGAAATTAAAAGAAAAATACATTTGTTAGAAATAAGAAATAGAAAACATCATTAATCAAAATTCATCTATCTATTGAAAAATCTATCAATCGTACAAATATGAATATGATTTTACACGAGTAAGTTTTATTCACTTAATTCAGCAAATATAAATGCTATGTTTTACTAATTTTTTTTCTACGTTAAAGAAGTAATTTTATAAGAAGAGACAAACAAAGAAAATACTTGAGTGACATTCGTAGGTTGAAAAATTCTTGAGAGAAGAAAAATAACATGATTTAATTATTCAAGTTCATACGTGTTCAGGAAGGTTATAACTATGTATATACGTGAATTATGCTTGATCTATTAGTACTATCTTACAGAATTATATTTACAAATACAATTTGAATAATTTAATAAATATATGAAACTTCATATTTTACGTCGACACTGTCTTTCACTTTGAAATATGAATAAGCAAAATGAATTCATATTATTAATCAAAAAAAAAGGAAAGTATATGATGATCGGAAAAAAGTTTTTTTAATTACTATTAGCTAGAAATAATTATTTCCTCGTTTTGTTTTTTTTTGCATCTTTTTAAATATTAGTGCTTTAAATTAGAAACAAGATATTGCACCGAGACATTAACAATGTAATAGTCAAATATTTTTATATAACTAAACAGTGCAAAAACAACCAATCTGCAATCAACACATGATGTTAGTAAAAAATACCGTTTCTAAGAAGCATGATGATAAAGGATAACGTTCTTTTATTAGCAAATCTCTTTTTTTCTTTTTAAGTGACAGTTTTGTACTATAGAATTCTTTAATATTTTATTCTAAAGAAGATCAAGACTGACAAAAAAACAACAAACATTAATGAATTCATTTGTATAATAGTTTATATTGTTCAAATGAGTATAAAAACTTTTCTTTAGTCTTTTAGTTTTTTATACAAATACAGACGAAATTTTCATTTTTCTTCGATCTATAATCTCAAAGAACAATTTTGGAATAAGTTTCTAGAGTCTTTTTTTAAATTCTTTTTTATTTGATTTTATTCATTATAATGAATTTTCTTTTTCAACCAGAATTTGAACAAGATTTGTTGTGTGTTAATTTTTATCTCAAAACTTTCTTCTTTGTATTTTATATCATTCTCTTTTTTTTTCTCATTTTCTATATTGACGATGAAAACAACAAGCGAAAGAAAGAGAGAGAGAGAGAGAGAAATCGACATTTGAAGTTTTTCCTTGTGTTTTGCGCATAAACGATGATGCACGACATGGATATCGTAGCGTTGTTCTGTATCTTTTACGTGTCACTAGAAAAAAAAAGAGCATCTATTCTAATTTCATTACAAAGAGGATCAAAATAAAAAGAGACGAAAAAAAGATTTGATTTTACATGATTATTTTGTTTTCTTAAAGCTATGTGTGCCCTTAAGACCAAAAGGCACGTTTTCCTGATTAATATGTTTTCCATAGAGACAGTATGATAAACAGATTTTACAATAAAATCAACTTATGAATAGATTATTATATGAAACAGAAAAAAATAAACTGAGCAAAAGTTCGTTAACATCTGATATGAGTCTATCTCTTTTTTTTTTTTTTATATACATTATAAACTTTCCAAAAAAACAAAAACAAAATGACTTGTGTTTTAGATTATTTTCATTTTACTTGGCTATGATCAAATAAGAATCATGATGAACAATAATTTTACTATGAATAATGATGATATACAACAAACAGAACAAACATCATCATTTATTGATTTACGATTTTTTCTTGTTCGTATTTTTTATCCATGTTTACTTGTATGGGGTACGATTGGTAATGCATTATGCTTACGTGTATTATTAAGTAAAAAATTTTTGAAAAATTCAACATGTCAATATTTAGCTGTACTTGCTGTTATTGACATACTGTTTATATTAATGCGTTCAAGTAAACATGTTTATAAATTATTTCGTATTACACCTATATTTAATACATCAAAATGGATATGTCGTATATTAACATTTTTTTCATCAGCACTTGCACATATGGCATCATGGATATTGGTTATTGTTAGTTTTGATCGATATTTAATAGTAACAAGTCGATATAGACGACATAGTTCACCTGTTAACCGAGTTTTTTGTTCGACAAGTGTACTTATTGCTATTGTTGTTTTATGCAATCTTCATTATTTCTTTATACTTGGTAAGAAAATGTTTATATTTTATTAAAATAATCTTACTTACTTGTTGATTTTAATGACCATACAATATTTAGTATTGAGAAAATAATTGAAATTTTCAAATTCGTTCTGATTAAATAAGAACGCACTTATTTCAAATAGTTTCTCGTATGAATCTTCTATTAAACAAATATAATTTATTCACTTATGTAACTAAACATGAATTATTTTAGTATTTAGATTTCAAAATATAATTCGAGACAGAGAAATCACGGAAACTGTTAGAAGTATTATTTCTATCTATTGTTCATCTTTCAAAATATAAAGAGACTAATGAAAAGATTATTAAAGTAGCTTCAGATTACTTACCTAGATGAAAAACTCCATAATCAAAGCTGTATACTCTTGAAGGAAATGAATTTTCCAAATTTGAAAAAAAATCTCTAATAGAACATATAATAACGTTTTGCTATGCAAAAAATGCAGATGAACCATATCCGATGAAGGAAAATTGACCTGTATACGAAATTTTTCTTTTTATAAAAACATGCAACGACGATTTACATATTAAAGAGCAAAAAAATCAAACGTTAAATTATATATAATTAATTTAATAGAACAGAAATTTGATAAATCTTGTCTAAATATATTTCTACAAAAAAAAAAAAGTTCGAAAGTTACCTTTAAAAAAAATTTTCAATATTTTGAAAAAACCAAATTCAGTTTGCTGGTTTTTGTTTTCATTCAATATGTTACGTAAAATGATATCCAAGAACATTGAAATTCGTGTATAACAATAGTAAATTGAGTATCTACTTTTCAACGGTTATCACAACTTACGAATGATTATATTCAACTGTTAGACGCAGTTCAGTTTTATATTATGACTATGAATAGGTCTCAATGAGACTAAGAAAAAAGCTTAAAAAGCATTCCGAGTTCATGACCTAATGATAAAGAATTATAGCCGTTATAATAATATTTCTATTGAACGTAGGATATTTCCGGAAAATGCAAAACAAAGAGTTTCTAGCTGAAGTTTTGCCTATAGGCAAATTTGATGGTTCTTTGATCGTTCGGCAAGTTTCAATGAAGATAAACATATTATTGCTCGAGATATTTAATTTAAGAGTTGACTCGATTACTCTATGTCTTATTATGGTAAATCACTGTTTTTTTTTAAGAAAATTAATTATTTCAAGAAAGATATGTTGATTTTCGTTGACATTTTGTGTACTATTTTAATGATTATTAAATCTGCATATAAATCAAATCTTTATTTTGCATTTTCTGGAAATGATCTTGCTTCTAAAGAAAAAAAAAATACCATTTTATTCAAACGATCATAAGTCTTCATTGGTAGGTCATGAGATTGAATGATTTTCTTATTTTTAAAGTTTTCCTAGTCTTATCGAGACCACCGCTGTGATCATCATATGATATCAAATGACATCCAATAATTGATTGTGTTCTCTGATTACTTAATTAATTCATGACATCTAGTTTAGATCTTTTATGAAAAGAATTATTCTCAGATATCTATTGATAAATTCGAGTGATAAGTACATCCTGCTATGAGTATGTTTAATATGTGCATGACTAAATTACATATTTCTATCTTATTTTCAATTAGAACTTATATTTATTCATGTTTTTCTTTTTGTTTCATAACTCCTTTGTGATTTGATCTCGATTGAATATTACAGAAGAATAAAAAGAATCTCATTATATATATTTATATGAATTATTTTTTTATAAATCTCAATATACATATTCAGTAAAAATATTTTATTCTTTTGATTAATAAGGTCGCAAAATAACACTGAATTATAATGGATCAATTAAACAACAATATGATTTATTTAACGATACAATAAATATTAATAATATGTCTTTAGAAACTATGAATTCTTATGACTTATTTCAATCAAAAATAATTTCAATATTTGTATGTATACCAAGTAATGGTTATGAACGGTTTTTTCGTACTTACATACCTATATTTGATATTTTACTTGTTGCTGTTATCCCATTTTTTCTTCTTTGTTTTTCTAATATTGGTATTATAACATATACAATGCATAAAAATCGTCACATGCGTCAACATCGAAAACGTGCACATCGTCGCCATCAACGATTAACAATAATGCTTTTATCAGTTACATTGGCATTTATTGGTTTAACGTGTCCATCAGTCATTTTCATATGTGTTAATAAAATAATTCAATCAAATCGGATGAAACGCGATGAAAAGACAGATAATATTAATGAATTATTTGGCAGTGGTCAACCATCAAATGTACCATTAATTGTTGAAGTATGTGAAGCACTATGGTATACAAAACATGCGATGAATTTTATATTATATACATTAAGTGGACAAGATTTTCGTCGAGAATTTATTAAATTATTTACACAATGTTTTGATAATCGACCAACTATTTTAAAAAATTTATTTCGACAAACTCCAATGACAACAGAACAAAGAATCGATTCGACATTAATTGAAATACCCATAATAACAAATACAAGTCAGAGAAAAAAAAAAGCGAACAAATAATAATCATGAAATAATATATACAAGTTATATGAATTCAAGAGAACCAATATGAACACCTTAATATGTTTCAACATATAATGTATAGCATTGAACAATTGTTAGTTTTCTTTTCTTTTTTTCTCTTTCTTTTTTTTCAAAATAATAATAATGAAATCTTGTCCTTATTTATTAATAACCTGAGATCCGATAAAACATTTAACAAACTAAAGAAAAAGAAAACGATTAAGGAGTAGGGTATCACAGTGTTAAAAAAAAGAGACAAACTTGAATTAATTAATGAAGAAGTGGCTAGTATAGAATCATTCTCTGTTAAGAAAAAAAAAAAGAAAAAACGAATATATTTGAAAGACAATTTCAAACTAACAAGATAAATGAACAACTTTCAAACATCGAGTCTATTTTTTTGTAAAACGTCTTCTTCACTTTTGCCTTCATTTGTTTCAACATCACGCTCAGGTGGAACACATACAATACAAAAATGAAAGAATGAAGCCACGATGATCATTGCACCACCAATAGCAAATGCCATATCATATTTTTTAGTATAATCTTTAAGAAAACCTATTGGACAAAAAAATAAGAAATAATTTTTAAAAAAACAAGCAAATCATTTTTAATACAAACCAGCAGCAGGTGGGCCAATAATTGATGTTACACCACGAAATAGAAATAGAATACCAAAAGCTGTTGTATATCGATCAAGACCCACACAATCACATATAACACTTGGCAATAAAGACATATGAGGTGCTAAAAGTAGAAATCAAGCATCAATTATCTTATTCTATTTATGAAGATTTTTTTCCCACCAATAGCAAATCCACATAGACCAGCATAGAGTGCACATGTTGTAAAATTATATGCATAAGCTGCTAAAACAGTCAGAATACCAGCTGTAAATAAAAGCACATTATGAACACGTAATGCACTTAAATGTGGTATCATAGCAATAGGTCCACCAGAAAATCGACCAAGTGTATTAAAAAAACCTAAATGAATATTAATTGTTCATAAGAAAAAAAGAAATGATTGTTGATTTATTTATTTTACCAAAGACTGTTAATAAGAATGAAGCTTTCGTTAGATCAACTTTCAAATCTTCAGTTGCAAATGAAACAAGACACATAATTGGTAAATAATAACCAAGCATAGAAAATACATTTCCAAGACAAATTAATAACAATTGTTTGTTTTTTAATATTGAAAAATCTGTCATTGTTTTAAGTATATCAATAAATGCTTTAACTGCTGAATCTTTCTTTTTTTCTTCATCAGTTAATGCTGGAATATTTGTTACGGAGGACAAATATGGATTGCTATTAGCTAATGATGTATGTGATAGATGATGAAGTTGACATTTTGATCCAGTAAATAAGGCATCTTTTCTATAGAGTGGTCGTGTTGCATCTTCAGGATTTGAAACACCAATACGATGATGTGCACCACTAGCTGATGTATGACTTGATGAAGATAATGTGCGAACACGTGAAGTTTGATTAGGTGGAGTTAATGATGAACCATTTGCTGTTGCAACAGGAGGAACATCACTACGTGATCCTATACCCAAATTATTATTCTGGTTTGATGCATCAACTGATGATAATAATGGCTAGAAAAATAAAACTTTGAATATTATTATTTTTCAATGAAAAGATATTAATACTGACTATATTCATATCGGCTGTTGCTTCTTGAGAAGCTGAAGATGATGGTTTCTGTTGACCATCTTTTGAATAATTATTAACAGGAGTTCTGTACCAATAAAATACAAGTAATGTTCTTATAAACATAAAAAGAAAAGTATTTTAGTACTTACTCTAATTCAATTTCTCGTTTAATTGGTACTCTTTGAGGTTTTAATGGTTGCATAATGGCACCAAATGCAATACACGTTAACATTATACCAGCAAATATAAGCATGCCCATTTTCCAACCCAATTTTCCCATTAAGAAATTAGCTAATGGGCCAAAAGATAAAGCACCTATACCTGTACCTGCGGTTACCAAACCTAAAAATCAACAAATAAATTATAATAAAAAATAAATAAATAAATCTAAATAAAAAAAAAAACAAGAAAATCTCACCATTGGCTATTGCTCGTTTTTTATCGAAATAAAACGATACCATTACTACTGATCTAAATTCAAGAAGACATTTAATCATATTATTTTTTTTTATATCACAATATTTAACATACGGCAGATAAACCATTCCAAAAAAGACACCACCAAATATACCATAGATAACCATCATTGCCCAAACATTTGGTGAAAAAGTAGACAATACCATACAAGTTGCTGCACCAATGCTTCCAATAATAATAATTGGTCGACAACCATATCTATTAGCTAAACCCGATACAATTGGACCTTTGAAGATAAATCACAAATTTCAAGATACTAGATATCTAATGATTATAAATTATACTAACCCACTAATAAATAAACACCACAAGGAACAGAACCAACCATAAGAATAAGCATATCCGAACATTCAAAATGTTTTTGAAGATGAACTTTCATTGTACCAAACGCAAATAGAGTACCATCACATACAAGATTACATAACTGAATAGAAAATTATACCAATACATATCATAAATGAATAAATAAACAAAAAATTCAATAATACCATTGCTGCAAAAGCAATAACCCAGCCAAACCCTCCATCAGGTGGTATTGCAGCATATTCAAATTCTTCTTCATAATTATTATTGTCAATTTGTTTTAATCGAACTTGTTCATCTTCTAATTTTTTATTTTCTGATACTTGTTTCGATGCCATACATCTAATGTACTCGTGTAACCTCACCAAAATTTAAACAAATATTTTTTTTTTCTCCAGACACTCAAATCTAAAAATGCAAAAAATACTAAGAATAAAAATGAACCACATACCAATAGATACATGTATTAGGAAAAAAAAAATAAAACGGACCGAATAATATGCAATTATAAAAAAAAGAACAAGCCTATGCATAAGAAGAACAAAAAAAGAAACGAGTATCATTTCGAATATGCTGACGGTTTTGATATGATTCATTGAGCCGTATCCATACTTAGCCAATCAAGGGCAATGAACAAGAAAAGAACAACGAGAAATCGGTGAAGGACACAAGCGAAGTAACAATATGACCTTCGTTCAGCTTTCTTTACTCTTGCATAATATTAATATAGATCTTTTTACCAGTTATAAAAAGACAAAGAAGAACAAGAAAGAGGGTAGATAAGCAGTTATGAATATCAGATGATATTAAAAGTATGTAGGTTTTTCGGGACAAAAAGCGTTTACATTTTTTTTCGATTCTCCTATATTTTTGCCACAAAACCACTTTCATATTATTGCTAGCGATGAAGGAGAAAAACGTCACAGATGGAGCTATTTTGCATTTCATAATAGATTTGCAATGCTATTTTGTTTTTTTCGAGCAATGTTTTAAATAAAAGAAGTAACATATGTTGACAAGGCTTGAAAAAAAAAAGAAACTTAAGGATTGATGGAAATATAGTTGACCGATTTAAAACAGTAAACGAGTGCAGGAATATCAAAATTATTATTATGGGGTATCATTATAAGTCATCATCAAATTTACGACAAAATAATAATAATCATTTTTATTACGAAATAAAATATTTTTGCTTGCCTAGTTTTACCTTCCTAACGACAAAATTTTTACATTCCTTCTACTTTTTTTCGTTGATTACAAGATTCACATCGTCTTTTCATTACACGACGTAAACCTGTTTGCATTTATGTGCTGCCGTTAAACATTCATTTTTCGATTGAATTAAGCGTATAAAGAATACCTCTACGTCAAGGTTATCAGTTCATACTTACGTATCAGCCAATGATTTGAACACAAATGCCGTGTTAGTGAACACGACGATGATATAAAAGGCTGATCACGCGCAATAAAATGACGAGTGCACAGTAGATGAGAAGAATTTTCTGTCTTGACTAAAGAAATACGTGGCCTATTCTCTTGATTTCTTTTTCTTGACTTTCTATACAAACATTTAAACTTTCATTTTATATGTATTCCCTGATGTATGTGTATATGCGAGAGAACGACGACTTTTGACTAAGAAAATTCACAAACTAGTACTGTATGTTGCACGATAGATATTATTTCCTTTCTACAAGAAATCAATGGAATATATAATGTGTCCTAAAGAAAAAAAATACTTATATTATACAGAAAGAAAAAAAGATGACGCAATGCAACAGTATAACAAGGTCATGGTCATTGTCTAATAGCAATAGTGCTTAATACTGTAAAATATCAAAATGAGTCCTTTTTTCATCAAATTCGATATAATAATAATAATATTTAACTTTCTTTGTTGTATGGAAAAATATAACGTAAAACATCAGTCTAAACAGCAGTGAAGTACAATCATAAGATACAAACCTTGTCTCGTCTATACAATTAATCCTTTCATTTTGAAATGCTTCTGTGCTCGTGTTTTACCTTTTTTTTCTTTCTTTGCATAAAAAAAAATACTGTCTTTCCTGTTACATTATAACGTTCTTTTTATTAAGTAATTTCGACGCAGAATAAAAGAAAAAAATGTGTAACTTCAAAAAGACTATTACATTAAGAAAAAAAGAAAGAATAACAATGAAATTTGACTACCAGGTATTAGCATAGAATTTATACATATAAAGAAAGAAATACAATTTCAATTCCTAATTAACAATAGTCTTTGAAAAATGACATTGATATACAAAAAAGAACTCTTCTTTCTCTCAGCAGGTATTACACTAGAAGAGAAATATATCACAATGATATTCTATTTAAACCAAATATATGTTAGTTATAAGTTATTTCAAAGTTTTCTAGAGAATAATTTTTGTCAAAGCTTTTATAATCATTGTCATTATTCATAGAGAAAACGATTTTTTAATTAAAATTCATAATATGGTATATTTTGTATACAATCTAATCATGTAGTAGTAAAGAAATCCTATATTTTTTAAATAAATCAATAGATATATATATGCTCTAAGACCTTAATTTTATTGACATGTTAAACACAGTAGACACTAAAAAAAGCATATATTTATCAACTATTTAGAGTCAATAATCCAATTCTTTCTTATATTAATATTTGTTACAAATCTACTAATCGGATTAAAAACAGAAAAGTAAATGATTGTATGCATAGAATAAAATCTAAAAAAAAAACTACGCCATTATGTTATTCTAATAGTACCCTATTATTTTACGAGATGGAATATTGTTTCGAGCTATTAATTTAATTTTTTTTTATCTTATTTTCCTAACTAAATCAATAAAATAGGCAGATGCTTTTAGTGATCTATATATAAACTAATGTGCAATGAATGATTTCAGTTTAAAATTTCTTTTGTTTTCTTAATTCAAAGATTATTTATATAAGTTTTAATTTATTTTTAACAATAGAATACATGACATATATTATACTTTTATTCTTATTTTGTATTTTTTTTTCCTGTATATGTTTTATGCAAGTATACATTTTTTATTCTACGTTGATTATCATTCGCTATTTGTATTAAAACAAAAAAAAATTTATTGTGCGTTGTACTCGTTTAAAAAAGATATTATCATGAAAATAAAGTATTGTCTTTAATATCTTCTTCTGTTGGTTTGTTCTTAATTTTTTCAGCCGACTTTTCTATTTTCTTCTCATCATCATTGGTAATTGTTGAGGATTCAATATTAAAATGACGATTTAAAAAAATAGTAAATGATGTGTCTTCAAGCATTGGTGTTGTATTATCTTGAGCTATAATAAAAAAAAAAGAAAAAGTGTTGAAGGATTTAAGAAAAAGAAGAAATAGAAAAAACACCCTTACTCAATGTCGAATTACTTTCAACAATACTCATCATTGTACTATTTGATGACATCTCAATATATTCTTGACTTTCCATTATCGTTGTTAATTCGTTTTTTGTCGTCATCGTAGTGGTGAAGTGATGACTATTAGGTGCCAATGTTGTTTGTTGATTAGATACTGTTGTTTGTTGATTAAATACTGTTGTTTGCATAGTAGTCGATATAGTCGTTTGTTCATTAGCTATTGTATCCGATGATGGATAAGTTTTCATTGATTGTGTATCAGAATATACATGCTCATTTTGTTTTGTTCCCATTATTGATGATGACATATGAACATTTTGAGTTGTTAACGTATGTAAATTATTACTTGTCAAAATGACAGTTGTTTCTGGCCAATATTCATTTTCTGTTTGCTCATTGGTTATTGTTGTCAAATCTATATTGATAGATATTATAATAAATGAGCAAATAAAATAAAGAAATACCCATATACTAACTTTCTTGATTTACAAAAAGAAATCGACTATTATTTGACGGTGGTAAAAGATTTGTTTCAGCAGGTCGTGATATAACAGCCATAAGTTTATTACTAGAATCTAAGAGATACAAAAAAAAGAAAGAAAAGTCTTTCTTTATCATGTTAAACTTGAACAATTTATTTTTCGAAAAAATAACACTTAAGCTTATGGCTTAACTCTCAAAATTTTTTATCATAATGTATAGGTATGACATCATAAAATATTTCACATGATAAAATTTTTATGATAGTAATTATATATAAAATAAAAAATGTATGTCAATTTCAGGTGCTAAGAATATGATATGATAAAAAGAAGAAATTTTTAAAGTTTCTATTGACATTTAATAATTTATTTTGTTAAATAATAAAAGAAAAAAAACTTACTCGCAATTATCAATGTAAGTATAACAATGCCAATAACAACAAGACCAAGAATTATAAAAATAGCAGCTTTACATGCACGTGATAATCGTTCTTCACGTGGTTTCTAAAAATATAAATTATATTCTTTTTTTGTCTATTGATGAACCAAAAAAAAACATTTTCTTTCTTTTTTCTGTACCTTTGTAAGTACAACATGATTTGTTGCTATAATATCATTCAAAGCTGGATTGCTTAGATCAGTTTTATTTTCATTTTCAATACGAACTATTGATTTTTTATACATTTGTATAAGTATATATTTAAATTTAGTTGTAAGAAGAATAATCGTTGATGATCAGATTTGTGAGTTTGAAAAGAAATGAAATATGGTTGAAAATGAATGTGGGACGATATCCGATGTGTGTATTTGTATGTACACCATCGAATGCTAGGTAACCACATGTACAAAAGAAAAAAGAGAGAAAGAGACAGAAAGGACATTTATGTAAGTTCTCTCTTGTGTCGTTGTTCCGTAGGACGCATACGTACGTATACATAATTGTGGCTCGCTCGATTGTTCAATCATTTTTGTCAGTTCCATCAATTCATGTATATACAGCTTGCTGTTAGCGGAATAAAAAAAAATGAAGTGAATTAAGTGAAGTGCAGCACAGCGATGAAGTCAAGATAACTGTATGAGTACACTTGTTGGCTGTCGAGCGCAACGAACGACAGAACAATTTGTTATTCTATATGCATATATATACACATTGGTTGTATATGTGAATTCACCTTAGTTCTTCTTGTAGAAGACATACATGCATACATATAATGTATTGTTCAGATAGAGACAAACAGACAGATACGATGAACTACTCTGCGATGTGAAGACTTACAATCACGTGAATAGCAATATGACCTCTGTGCTATTGTGCAATATAGAGACATTATTAAGAATATGAAATTTCAAAATGAAATATGAAGAAATAACAGTGCAAAATCAATCATTATTGATCAATTTTAGTTCTTTCTTTTATCGTTTTATCATATAAGACCTTTTTATGTAAATTTATGACAATTAATGGATCGTTGTTTTGTCATCATTTATTCCTTCTTATATTTGTTAGTGATAAAGAAAAAAAACACAGACATAGAATAGAAACAATATTGTTAGATCCCTTTTGAGTAGATATACTCATTGTTTATTTATGCATTCTAGACTCCGGTGAATACTCATAAACATGTGAAATATGAATCGTCATGCTAGAACATTTATTATGCAGACGTCCATTAATTGCACAAAAACAAGACCATTCCGAATAACTTGAAACAAATCATACATCAGTTTTCATGATCATTATCAGCAAAAAAAAAGAAGAATAGAATATAAGAGAAATATTTCAACTGATCAATATAATGTGCATATATCCCCATAATCTTTGTTTGTTCTGAATAAGAGATAGATGAGTTTATATAAATTATTTTATTTTACTTAACAATATTTAAATCATCTTTTGATGCGTATATAATTGAGATATATGCTTTCATTGTGTATATTTCTATGCGTAAAGAATACTAGCTATTTTTATGTTTTTTCGATAGCAAACAATAGCACAGTAGTAGTTTTGGCATTGTTTTTTTTCCTTCTGGTGGAGACTTTTTATGTGTGAGTGATTGCAAGTTACTTTGGTACGGCACAGTCAATGAGGCAATTTTGTTTTTTTCTACGCAAATCTGTAATAATAGACTTTTTCTCTTCTTTTATCAATTAGATAATAGATATTGCCTTAGAATATCTCGACGAAATCTTTCTCTTCTTGTTTTCTTTCTCTACATAGACTTTTAATTTTATTTATTACAATACTTCTCTCTTTCTCTCATACCCATCATCGATCAAATGTGATAGTAATAAGTAGAAATGGAAAGGATGATGATGATTCTCTTCTGCTGAGAGAACTAGCAAAATGTTTTATTGAGTAACTTACCAGATTATATTGACCTTTTCTTTGAATACGCCCTTTTTTTATGTGTCCTTTGGATATGTAAGTATTAAAAAAAAGAGAAACAATAGTTTGCATTAAACAAGTAAAGAAAAAGAAAAGATTTTCTTTTTTTTCTGACTCGCACTAGGCTGTGCTGTAAACATTTTCAATATAATAATGATCATAATAATAGAAAAAGAAGGAAGCATAGAAAATTCATGCTGCTCTTTAGCGTTGATAGTTTAATACTGCGACAAAAAAAATATATACACTTTGATCGTAAATAAAGAAAGAAAACTTGATCTTTTGTTTGCATGCCTTCTTTTATTTATTATTCGATTCCGTTTCGAACTAAACTCCAGAAATAGATTAAAATATACTTGGATCTTTTTCTGAGATGTTTTCGTGCATATTAAAGTGTAACGAAGATGACAGGTAGTCGTTAGTACTACAATCAAGAGTGCCTAATCGGCATAATATAGCACATCTAGTTTCTTTTTTTCTTTAGCTTCAGGGTATAATTCTTATGTATGGATGAATGTAGGTGGAAAAAAGAATATGAATATTGAAATCGTCATTCCTTGTTGTCTTTATGACGGATGATGATGATGATGATAATAGTTTCTCGAACTCGTTTTTTTTTCTTCTTCCTTTTTTTTTCCATCTTCTCTCTTTTTTTATCTGCCAGAACAATACCAGTAGCCCACATAGACATCATTACTGTAGAGAGAGAGAGAGAGAGAGAGAGAGAGAGAAAGAGTGTGTGTGTGTGTGTGTGTAAAAGAAAATCATTATAGGATGCGCGCTTTTATTCACATCTACACGATTACAAGATTTTACCGACTCACACGGCTACATCACACGTTAACAGCATATAAAATAAACTTGAGAAAATATTTTTTTATCATTTGTTTGTTCTAATTCAATTTTGATTTCTTTTCTTTTATATTTCTTTTTAAATTAAAAAAGTAATAAGCGCAATGCTATCATGCTCACAGCACATTATGATTTATATATTGGTATTGGAATTGGTGCTGTATCTGTTATTATTATAATTCTTATCGCAACAATAATTTTTTGTAAATGTTGCGTGCCATCGTCAAGTCATCGTTATTTTGGTCGATCTGTGAGACATTATGCAGCTATTAATAATATTGACGCTAAAACATATTTTAAACCACCACAACATCTCGTGAGTAATTCTTTCTGATTATCTTTCTATTTATCAATCATGATGTGCGTAATTTCCGGTCCTGATTGGTTGAACTCAGATAAGTTAAACATGCAAATGCATTTAGAAAAAAAAAAGATTATGTTAGAAAACAAACAAACAAAAAATAAGAATTTTCTATTGAATTTCTTTTTTTTTTCTATAAAAAAGACAATAAGAAAGATAATGTGAAAGTTAATTATTTTTTTCTCTTCTAAAAATAGATTTAATATTGCTTATATTATTCATTAGATTTATGCACCTATTGTTCACCGTATTCCACAACCACCAGTTATAACACAAGAAATATCTTCAACACAATCAGCTCGAACATCAGTTGCATCAGGTGGTCGTTTATCAATTTTGTCGGAAAAATTATCTCGTTTATCAATTAGTTCAAATCAATCAGGTCGTCCATCTGTAGCATCAGATAGTGTACTTCTACAAAAAAAAGGGGATACTACTCGTTTATCACATTCTTATGATGATACAAATACACAAGCAATTACAGCACATTATGCAGGTCGACGAAGTTCGAAAGTACCACGTTTATCAACAGCTGGTATTGATACACAAGCCGTTGGACATAGTTCACCACCAGGTGGAACAAATGCAAAAAATATTCGATTTCAACTATTTCCTCGTACATCAGATGTTGTTGAACAATCGATATCATCAGTTGATCAATCATCAGCAATATCAACAGTACCAACAACTACCAGTATTGTTGAAGAGCAAACATTATCATCATCATCATCAAAACGCCAATTAACAAAAACAGATTCGATACAAAATTCAAATACAAGTCGTCGTCAATCATTACTTCGATCACCATCATCAAGATATGCAATACCAAAATTTCCTATTGTTACAAAACAAACAGGCTGTGTAGTGCGAGCTTCAACTCCTCTACCAGAACAGGGACTACTTTCACCACCTATTCTACCTCAAACATCATCTTATCTTGTTCCAAATAAGACATTACGTGGTGCATTAGGTGCCATTATGCCTGACCTCTATTTCGCTGGCACGACATGCACTAGGAATAGTAATAGTACGAATGCTGGAACAGGTTGTGGTGAACGAACAAACGATGAATTATCAACTGTAGATGAAAATATACATCGATTACATATTCGAATTATGTATGATGATCATCGAAATGATCTTGTTGTGAATGTAATTGAAGGTAAATGTATACATGTATATAGATAAGAGAATAATAAATTATTAGAATATATTTTTTGTTTTTCTAGCTCAATGTTTACCATTTGAACGTGTAGAAGTTGCTAATCCTTATGTAAAACTTTCTCTTCGACCACCCGTTGATCAAAAATTACGTCAAACATCCGTAAAACCACAAACAATAAATCCAATATGGAATGAATACTTTAAATTTGGTGTTGCAAATGAAACTGTATTTAAAACAACAAAGACTTTGTATTTTTATATTTATAGTTATGCACATTCAAGTCGACCTGAATGTGTTGGCGAAGCACAAATACGTTTAACACCACAAACAATTCAAGGTCGTGATCTATGGTGTACTATTAATAAACAACGAGCGGTAAGAAAAATTATTTTTTTCTTCTTTTAATATGTAGACACAAATTAAGTTGTCTATTTAAAAAAAAAGCATCTCTTCTTTGTATGTGTAGATGAAATTCTACTTTTCTTTAACGTCAGTCGTGTTTCTATAATCCTTTTTTTTTGCATAGGAAGATGAATATCTTGGTGAATTACTAGTTTCATTAACATATTTAGCTCAAGCTGAACGCCTTAATGTTGGAATAATTGAAGCACGCAATCTAAAAGCTCTTTCAATGCATCTTGAAGCTGGTCGGTTACTGAGTCTCTAGTTTTTTTTGTCTATATAATCAATAATCATTTCCGGTTCATTTTACTTTTTTTTAGATCCAGTAGTTCGTTTAACATTACAATTAGGCCAAACTGATAAAGTTAAAAGGAAAAAAACAAGTGTTAAGCGTAATACATTAAATCCAAAATGGAATGAAGAATTATCCTTTAATATTCCTGGTGTTTCATTAGATGAATCATGCCTTGAAATAGGTGTTTATCATCATGACCTTATCGCACCGGATGAACCATTAGGTTTTTTACGCTTTGAAAATACAACACCTATTGGTAGTGCTAATATAGCACAACATAGTGAAATAATACATTGGTGTGAAGTTATTAATGGCGGACAACGAGCTGCATGTTGGCATTTATTACGAAAAGCTGCAAGAATTGTACCACCATCATCATCGTCTTCATCTAATAATAATAAACATACGCAACAACAACAACAATCTAAAAATGCTACAAATATTGGCAAATAAAATGTTTTATTTAAAAAATATGAAATCTATTTTTTTTTATTTCTGCTAAATGTCTTATGTAGTATCAATGATGCCTGGTCTCATATTGTACAAGTTTCTTTTTTTTTCTATGTTGTATTTGTTTCTTTTGTCAATATTTATTTTCTTTTTTTGATGTAAACTAAATTTGTGACGATTTTTCTCTGGAAATTCATGATTGAAGTGTATGTTTATTTTTAAACTATTCAATGATTAATTGGAAATAAGAGAATCTTGTCTTCATTTAAAAAAAAAAAGAACAATTTAGAGTTTTCTATAGTAACATACAATTATTAGTAGTGATTGGTATGAAAATGATGAAGTTGTTTTTCATGATTCGGAAATGATGTGAGAGTCAGTCTATATCAACTACGATTGATTTTACTCAAGTGAACTCGTTAAACTTTGGTCAGTTTAAGATATATGAGCAAGTGAAGAGTTTTGTGAATATTGATGCTAGTTATTGACAAAAGATATTAAACCCCCGAGCTATAATGATCATTTTTACAAAAATGAAGCCATAAAAAGTCACAACTTTTAAAATAATGATTTTTTTAAGCTCAACATTTCAAGAATGGATTATCTATCTGACTGAGCGGAATTTTTTTCTTTTGAGAATTTGATATACTTATGAGTACTAATTAGCTTGGTATGTTGTGCGTCTGACGAAAAGTATAAAGCTGAAATTTTTACTGTTACTAGAAATGATGAAGATGTATATTTGATAGAAATTTCACCTTTGTATCACCTTGTGTTCATCCAAGAATTCGTTTTTAAAATTGAATTTTTGATAAAAATTGTAGTTTTCAAATGAGGTTTTCATTCAAGAAATGGAATAGGTTGAATGCTGACATTGAGAAGTCGGAAGTATTCTCCAAAGTGTTTAATTTCATATAAAAATGAGGGTAGAATTGCTAGAAACGATGAAGGACAAGGTTTGACTTCGGACTGAAAATAATGGGTTCATTAGCGAGGTAATCGGAAACTTGGAATTTTATACATGATAATTACAAGAGTGCGCCATGCTGAATCGATGAATTATCGCTGTAGGATTCATATAGAAGTGTTTCTCATATATATAACCTACCGCCGGCATCTGAAAATATTGAATTAGTCATTATGCAGCCCAAAGCATCAGCAATCTTGTCGTTAACATCGATAATTGATTCTATTAATGATTCTTTTTAGAAACTAACTTGTTTTCGTGCTTAATGTAGTCAGTTTATTGATGATTTCAGTTTCCAAAATCTTGGTTTTATTAAGACCAATAGAACCGATACTCTCATAATTGCAAACTGAACAATAATGCATCAGATAGAGAGCAATGTCAAAAATATCGACTTTCTTGATTTCATGCAATGACAACGTGTTGGGAGCACACGGAACAGATCGTATTAAATATACTCTCAAAAATAACCAGATCGAAGGTGTCAACTAATTTTGGGTGAGGCATAAATTTACTTCGGAACATTGTACTTAGACGAAAGTTACACAAGCTAATTTTTCGAAGTCATTCTTTCAGATACCCAAAATATCAGTTCTCAATAATGAGTTTCGTGATTTTCAATTTCTGTAAAACTTTGCTTTTGGAATCCAAACTTACTGCATCGGTGTCTGATTGTTTGCTGAAAATGATTACATTATTGTTGCGCTTCTTCTAGGTAACGATTCTAATAAGAAGCATGATTTGTCACTTCATCTTCTTACATTTACCGGAAGCAGGCAGGATGCATTTTGTCCGTGGAATGAAGTTCTTGGAGTTTCAAAATATCTATTGCAAATTATGGATGAGGAGCACAAATAAAAAAGTGCTCCATGAAATCTCTTCCGTCTAGAATATGAAACTCTACTCATTATCATTCATTAAAATTCCAGGCTTATGATTGCTTAACTAATGAACCTATCATTTTGACTTCAAAGATAGGCCTTGTTCTTAGTTTCTTTTAGAGGCCCCATGCTGAGTTTTATAGGTAATTATAGGCTTAAGAGTGAATGACCATATTTTATACATCAACAGCCAATATGTTCTATTTCTTCGGTGAAAGCCTCATTTGAAAATTAAAACTTTCATCTAAAATCCAATTTTAGAAATGAACTTTTCAATGGACACAACACGACAGAAAACTGAAATTTCTATCAAAAATATTTTTTCATCATTTCTAGTACCATTAAAAATTTCAGTTTGATATCACTCTTCATTTGTGACATATAGGCTATCAAAATTACTTGAAACATTGATTGTTGTCCATTTTGTCAGACCCATAATGTACCAATATAACTAAGGAGCTACCTGAACTAACACACGCTGTTTAAGCTCATCTTAGATTCCTAAACAGATCTTGGTTAGACTAGAAAAATTTAAAAAGAGTTTGTGCCAATGACTTTCTGGAGCTGACGAGGCAACCTATCTAACTGATAAATTCCGTTTGAGTTCATATTTTGCCCATTGGTACAACTCACACTATAGATAAAAACTCCTGAAGGGTTCGTTCAATTAGACCTTTCTTCTCGAGTTATGGTCATTTTACGGAATTTTTCTGTCTATCCAAAAATATAATGAAAACAACTTCAACAGGGAATTTTCATATGAAAATTTCTCCAATAATAGAACTCATGGTCCTTATTATATTCTAAAGGTTTTAGCTCAAACAAATGAGTTTTTTCTTAAGCCATTGAATATATCAAATATGGACTATTTTCGGAGTTTTTTTTGAGAAAGTAGTAGTTTTTTCAAATGTATTGTCTTGGAAGAGAACTATTCATTTGAGCTGAAACTTTCAGGATATAATAAGGACCATGAGTTCTATTATTGGAGAAATTTTCATACGAAAATTCCGTGTTGAGGTTGTTTTGATTATATTTTTGGATAGACAGAAAAATTCCGTAAAATGACCATAACTCGAGAAGAAAGGTCTAATGGAACGAACCCTTCTTGGGTTTTTATCTATAGCATGAGTTCTGTCTATGGGCAAAAAAATGAGATCAAACAGAAGTTATCAATTGGATAGGTTCCAGAGATCCAAACAGGCTGCATTTTTGCAGGCTTGGCCTGCCTGTGCCTGTCAACTTTTTTCTTCGGCCTGGTCTGCCTGCCTGTCATTTTTTCCGGCCTACCTGTGAAGGCCTGTCTATTTATTTTTCAAGCGAGTACACTGATGATGATATAGTTCAAGATATAATTTGAATGGGCTTATCTTCCGACATCCTAATTTTGAACAAACCAAATGATCTAGTTCATCGCACAAAGACTATGTATTTCTTTTTAATTTTTAAGCATATTTTCTTACTTTTTGTCAAAATTTCATCTGAATGATAAGCCGTCTTTATACTCTTTTTTGTCGATGTTTTGCAGACATGACTGATTTTAAAATGATTTCGTCATATACAACATTGGAAAAAAGGCTTTTCCGCCGTCTTTTCTTTCGATTGGTGAAAACCGCAGGTCTTTAGCTGTTTACTCTTGAGTTATCCGAAAAGCAGTGGAGGGCACTCTATTCTGAAATGGATAATAGAAGCTGAAAGAAACGTTTACGAAAGCACTCTGTTTCTAATCAGAAAAAGAAATCCACATTTAGTTTCATTAATATTCAGTATCTAGCTTCATGACGATCATATCAACAGCAATTATTAAATTTTCAATTGTTGTTGTTGTAAATTGCTCATTTAGCTGTGCATGAGATGATGAATCAACAATAACGATTGGAGATGAAAGATTAACTTCAGTCACTTAACAAGAAAATATCGTTGAAAACTTTTGAATATAAGTATAACCACAATCAAAAATAGAAAAGTAACGAAGTTAAACAAGAACACAGAATTCAGACCAATGATAAGATTTACAGTCATGATTAACCTTAATTTCAACCGATTACAATCAAGGCAGACTAATTATTCAGTTCTTTGATAAAATTACTTCACTATACTTGAATTCTAGCAACATCTTCCATTCATGAGATAAAATTTTATCATATAAAAAAAAACAACTCAGGCCAGGCCGTCTGTCAGTTTTGCACGGTCTGCCTGTCACAGGCACAGGCCTAAAAAGCGTAGCCTACACCTGTGACAGGTAGCCAGGCTGACAGGCCTAGTGGTCTATTTGGATTTCTGATAGGTTCTCTCGTGAGTTATGAACGTTTTACTGAGTCTTCAATTCAGCTTTAGGTATTTTATCGAGAAATTAAATAACAGTATTACAACCTAAAATTCTACTTATGAACAGGTCAAATGAATAGTAGAATATCGTAAAATTTTCAGCCTAAAAAGCATGTTCATTTATCGAGATGTTAAATTTCTAAAAAAAAATGGTCGTCTAGCATCGAGATGCCATAAAAATCGAGTTTACTTGAAAACTTCATATCTCAATAAGGAAACATATTTTTCAGCTCAAACTCTGAGAATATTCTATTAGTCATTCGATCTATTCATGATCGAAATTTCAGATTGAGATATCGTTATATGGTTTTTCGATAAATACCAAAATGTAGATCGAAAATTGATTAAAACGATTATAACTCGATTCCAGAGACTTATGGGCATCACGCCTTTCAGGGTTTTTCTAGTCTTACCCAGACCTCCTTGCAAATCCAATATGTGCTTACACAGCGAGTATCAATTCGAATAGTTTCATCGTAAGTAGGACTAATAGATATATCGACTTTGAAAAATATTCCAGTTCAGTTAGATGGGTAATCTATCCCTGAAATATTGAGCATACAAAAAACAGCTGTTTTAAAATGGTGAATTTCTGAGCTTTTTTTAAATAAAAATTTTCATCAGAATACGACGATATTTTTTCAAGTGATTGGCATCAAAACTCCACAAAGATTTTCTCTACACCATGCTGTGTCGACATTTATATCACCTATCTCATTGATATTCTCATTTCCTCATTTCTGTCCTTCTCATTCTCTGTATAGTCCTTTCTTGTATTCACCTATGTTCTAGATAAACTTATATAGAACGTTAGATAGTCACATTCTCACGGTATAAGGGTAGCTTAATAAACTTCATTATCGGGTAGGCATGTGCCAAACCCAAACTATTTGCAGGACAACAATCTAAAAACTCAAAACAAATTCTACTCAAATGATGAAAGAAACATAAACCATAGTGCATTTCGAATTGACTGTTTAAGATGGACACTTTCATCTATTTTATTTCATGATTTTGATTAAAAATCAATTTCATTGCATTCTCTTCATTAAAATGTTCCTTTCTAAACAATAAATGTATAATACATCACTGTTTATGCCCGTTTCATCATTCAAAATATCATGTTTTTGTGTTTTTGATATAAAATTCATACATCTTATGAATTTTGTTTTTTGATTTTCAATTCCATGAGGAATTTAGTTACGAAGTTTGTAGTAGAAGTAAGATTGACTATTGTAGATTCACACTCAATAAAATAAATGATTTAGAAACTCAAGAGATAAATATATTCTCGACGAAAGTCGACAATGTTCATAAAAATAAAAACTCGAATCCAAACTTTACCAAATTTTTACGATGCGTTCATGACCGTTCGCATACCTCAAGAAATGCTTAGACAATTACTTAAATATTCAACATTGTCGTAACTGATTGAATAGCTTCCGAAAGCAATCTGTTTAGTGCAGCCCATGGCAAGTTCCATTTTATAAAGGACTAAAATTGGTAACACATTCTATTTAAAAAACCATAGGGATTTCTACGAAAAAAAAAACACCAAACTAAAAGACAGAGTACATGATTATTTTAATATTTGCTTTTTGGTTCATTCTTGCTCAATATTATGTATTAAAAAATATTAAATATCATTGGTTGTGAATAGAAATTAATCTGTTTAAAACTATCAACGAATTAATTAATAATGACGCTAGTAATAGTTGTAAAAGTTGAAATGTGCATATGTTCTTTTCCTTTAAAGGATTAACATGAACTGGAAAAAAGAGATTACTATTGTTCTTAAAAAAAACATGCACAAAATAGCATAATACTACATGTAAAATTACAACTAAATACAAAATACTTTTTTCTGAAGCATCTTCATTCAAAATTTTTTTCATCTAATTTCTGCTGGCAATGATGTTGTAATCAAAATGTGACAAATTTCTATCTCCATCATTATTTTCGATAGTTTCTAGTGAAGTAACATGCGAACACAATAATATTTATTTATCAAATTGCGTGCCATTGTATCCTTAAGTAAATTAATAAAAGCTTTATCACTTTCTAGTTGACGTAACTCTAATACTTAAAGTTTTCAATTAGTCTTTCCTCTCTTTTCTATGCAATAAAGATAAAAATAACACTGTATGATTTAATCGTCATTTCTATCATGAAAGTACCATTTTCTCTTTTTTATTATTAGTATCAGTATGTAATAAAAATTTTCTCTTACAAGAACATATACCATGCATGTCATGAAATTTAAATAAAGGTTTTTTTGTCTTGAAGTACACAATTATTAATTATCTCAATATTTTCTAATAGTTTTTGATATGAATGATTCATTTTTATATATACGAAAAATTATACTTTGAAATATTTTTTTTATTGTTTGTAGCTCGTTAGTTTGAAATGTAAACGTAAACTGTAATGTTTATTTTTATTTATTGTTTTTAAAATTTTACATCAAATTTTTTCATTAGGTTGTTTTTGTTTTATGAAACTAAATTGCATCACCAAAAATTGGCGCGTTTACGCCAAAAATTAGCTCGTTTCCAAAAGTTGGCCCGACGAACGGGTGATGATATACTTGGTCGATTGTTTTGATAATGTTCGTTGTATAGGTCTAAAGCCTTATCGAAAAATTGTGACCACACTTCATAATCATCGTCTTCAAAATTGAATTCATCTGAATTCGAGTATGGCAATGGTCTCATTCGAGTAGCATCAGCAATAATATCATCATCATTATTATTATTGTTGTTAGATTTCAATAAACTTGTCGATAAAGGTTGACTAGATGCACATCGAAAAAGGAGAAAGAAAAATGAAATGCATATGCATGTTGTTGCTAAATAAAAGAAATAAATTGAGAAAATTTTTTTTAATGACTAAAATATATGTATTAATAAAACAGTAACATACTTAAACGAGAAATTTCTTTCGAATTCATTGTGGTAATGAAAAACATCAAAATGAAGAATGGTGTTTCAACTAACTCGATTGCGCTTAGTTGTTGTTCGAATGCTTTTTTTGAAGAAATGATGAAAAAAAGAAATACAGAAAGAGAAAAAAGAAAGAAGAAGAACAATAATATATTTCTTCTATTTGAACTTTATCTATGCTATAGGAAAAATCATAATTTTCCGTAGAGCCTTGCAACAACCTATTATTATTAACGATGATCACATTTCACTACTAGTCGCTCATCTCAACACCTAAAATACAAGTAGAGTACGATTTAATATAAACACATGATACATTATTTTTTTCTCAACTCAAGTGTTTTATAGCATTTCGCTCTATGTATCATTGAACCAAACTACCTTTCATTTCCGTCTCCTTTATTCATAGATTACTATGAAAAAAACTAGCGAGTGGAAATAGATTAATGCATTTATTAAAACAGACCCTCTGTGCTTTGATTATTCAACGCATAACGATTATTTAACACTTTTTTTAATTTCAATTATAATATAAAAAGGTTACCGTATTTTGTCTATTTAAAATATACAACTGATTCAGAAAAACTGTTGTCATCATTTAAAATACACATGTCCTCAATTCATTTTATTGGCATAAACTTAATCGTACATAAATATACAAGAAAATTGTTAGTATTTCTTCAAATATTATGAGGATATATCCTTGGTCTTCTACTAGACAAGGTTGATTGATGATCAATACAAAATAATAGTGAAACATGATGTCATTCGTTGAATATTTAACAAATAAATAATAAATTACTCCCGATTAGAGTGTTTAATAGAGAAATCATGACAAACTGATCGAAGAGACGTATATTCTTATCTATAATTTTTTCGATGTTTACAATTAATATATTTTCTAGTTTCACAAATCAAGATCAGTACAAACACTAAGGACATTTGTTTTATCGAATCGCACAGTATTTTATTTCATTTTCATTTTCTTGTGTTAGAAAATCTCTTAATCAATGATGACTATAATAATCACATTATGATAATCCGTATGACAAGCAATAAGAAGAATTTAATACTTTTAGAGTCAGTTATTTTTTCATTGAAATAATCCATGATGTATTAGATATTTTTTACTGAAGATCTACTTCTTATTCTTATGTTGTCATGTTAAAATTAAATTCATTGCTTGATTATAAGACTCAATCAACTTAGCCAACTCAAAAATATTTTACTTTTCTTAAGTATAATATGACGTATGTATAAAATGAAAATAAATTTGGTTTTGTAATTGATAAAGAAAATTATAATATTATTTTTTTTTAAATTTTTTAAATATCATCGAGACAATATTGTTAATAATTAATATTTAATTTATTAGTTAATAAGTATTTATTAGTATATAAATTGAATTAAACTCGTTTGAATTTCTGATAGATATTAATTAAAAATTATTTACTATCGCTGACTTTATCAAAAGCATAAATCCTTTTTTTCTACAGGAATAAAAGTAGATTGTGTATTGATAAGAGATGTGTAGAATTCTCAGTAAATCTAATCTGATACCGACCTCGGTATTGGTGTCTTTAGTTCTATCAAGCTTCGATCTAGAGAAAACTATTCCGGCATTTATTCGTATTACATCTGAAAAAAGATTTTTTTTTTCAATACTTGTTCTTTTATTTTATATAGTGAACGACTAGCATTTTTTTTCGAGTCATCACTCTTGAACTATGTTTTAATAGATAGGATTTATAAGATAATTCTTTTGAAACCATAAGATATTTAATTATAATTTGTAATTCCGATTGAAATAACGTTTTTTTTTGTCATAGATCCAGTTTCGACAACTTCTCGTTCTCCAGGGTTTCACACATCTCTAGTATTTGTTTATACAAAGCAAATATAAAATGAATTCTTAACCGTAAGTATACTGTTTTATTTTAAAATAAAATTCAATAATTCATTCAAAACTATTTTCATTATGACAAAAATTTCATAGAATCAAAAAACAAACATATCCTTCCATTGAAAATGATTAATAAATTATTCTCATGTATAAAATAAGCTACGCTTTGTTTCTTCTTGGGAACATGAAACCTCTCGCATGTTATCAAAAATCATGGCATCTATGTTATAATAATGATGTAAGCTGGTGAAAAAAAAAAAGCTTAGTAACAACGTATTTTTTTATTATATTAAGTAATTAGCTGAAATCCAGATGGTGATTTTAGTATCTTATGGAGTTTTCTATCTAATGCTTTCTATATTAGATGAACTGTTGCTAAAAAATAGTTTTCTGAAAGTTGACAAACTACCGTATTCGTTTATTTAGCAATCTTGCCATCATATTTCATCTAGTATGAATACATTAGAAAGAAAACTTCATTGATTATTACAATCACTGTCTAGATTTGAGCGAATTACTTAACATTATGCAAAATATATGTTGTTGTTAAACTTTTTCCACCAACTTGCAATCAATTGAATATCAAACATTAGAATTAATGTTTGATATTCAATTAAACATTAACATCAGTGGATTTATCTAATCATTCCAATGACATTACAATTTTTAGGATTGAACTTATATGATATGAAGAGATGTTATTCTATGAAATAGGATCATAAAGAATTTCATCTAAAATGACGAACAAAACACAACATTAGGTATATTATGATTGACATAGATTATCAACTAAGATAAATAATATAATTTAGTTATGCTGTTGAAACGTATTACCTTTTCATTAGGGTACTACGATCCGATTGTGAAACAATAACATGTAAAAATCGCCTTGATCTGTCATAGAGAAATCTTGAAAAGCTTTATTTAATGACTGAGTCATCACAATAAGATTATGCACATATTATTGAAGTGTGACAAGATGAAAAGCTTGTTCGTGGGTTTTATGATGTTAGCTTAGGGGGATATTTCACTAATTAAAGTCTATTTTCAAGTGTTAAAAATATATTAAATGTAGAAAAAAAAAGAATTGCTAACTCACAAATAAATGTATGTGTTCATTTTCGTATAGGAGATTATTATGTATTTGATATTGATGAGATAAAATAATATTTTAATACAATTTGACGCTTGTGAATTCTTACTGCGTACAAAAAATGAATTTTATTAATTAAAGCAATATGTTTAGAAAATAACTCAGAATAAAATTCAGTAAGATGCTCAATTAAAAAAACAATATAAATAATCAACTAGAAAATCTAAATGTAAATTGTAAATAATTTTTGTTATTATTTAGAAAATTTGATCATAATGTATTTTTAGTTTAATTAGGAAATTTTTTTATTAGAAAAATGAAAAAGATTATATTACAGATCATAGCCGACAGGACATTTTCGATCTAAGCTAAACTCAACAATCTTTATAAAGTTCCCATCAGAAAGTGAAAAATAGATACGAGAAGGATATTGGAATAGATTTACTCACTTCATTGAAAATATTTCTAAGAAGAAAAGTTCTCGAACTGTTCAATCAATTTTGAATTTGAGACTATGTGCATTATGTAGATTGTAATGAGCTATGAATACTCTTAAAACAGTTTGTACTCTTAGCTTGTTGCTATGGAGATACTGTATTTTCGTGATATTTTTTAAAATGAATGCTGTGACCCACCTGAAGAACACCGGTAAAATTGATTTTCGAATTCCAACTTGAAACTTTGCTAAGAGAAAGGCTTTAACTAGAATAGTTTTAGGCCTTTTGATTTGCTTCTATTCTAAAATAAGAACATGAGATCTGCTGGTTTATGTGCGTCTTGTAACATTATTACCATAGTTGTATCTTAGAATAGGAATAGTGACAAGACCTAAAACATGCACAAAAAACTATTCTCGTTAAGGCCTTCTTCTATGCAGAGTTTCGAGTCAAAATTAGAAGATCAGTTTTTCTGGTGGTCCTGAGGTTACAATGGCATTTATTTTTAAAAAATATGAAAATACAGTGTGTCTACAACAATAAGCTAAAGAAAAAACTCTTCAGAATATTCACAGCTCATTCGGATCTACATAATGTACATAGTATAAACTCAAAAACGATTGAACAGTTGCAGCACTTTCCTCGTTAGACATGTAAGTTTAACCATTGAAAGTGAATTTCGTTAGTTTTTTCGTTTATGTGATTCTAGTTTTCGATACAGTTCTTCTTCACTTATTACACAGTAGTATTACTTCAAGGTATTGGCAATTTAGGGCGCAAAATTTAGTCATAAACATTTTCCAAATCTATTTCATTACGAAAATGATGCCATTTACCGCTAAAAGTGGTGAAAAACATTCAAGTTTGCATAAGAATTATGACATTTTGTATAAATTTCTCAATCTAATGGAGCAAGAAACAAATGTTTGAGTCTATTCACACCTTGTGGTTCCGTTGCCTATATTATAGATGTATTGTATAAAATTTTCAGTTCATCATCATGAGGTCGTCGAGGGATGACACGACTGATGAGCTCCCGACATATGAATCTAGCGTAAAAAAAAGACGTTCAAAAAGACAAGAAAATAATTTTATTTGAATAAATTTACATTAATATCAAAAATTGAACAGAACTTTTACTCGATTGAAGTACAAGTCTCTTGTCATCCAATGACAAGAAGAAACTAATTGTTGTAAGTGCTTATTCAAAAGTTCATATTTTGTATGTTTCTTCAGTATCACAAGTCCAGCTTATAATTATTCAATCGTTATCAAGTTCGTATACTGTTCCATTTTCAAATCTTTGATAGATTCATAGATTTTCTCATAATGAATTCTGACTAGAGACAGATGAGCGATCGTATCGAGAAAAATACATAAAGGATTAACAAAACTTTGATAGCTCGTTACCAACCTTCAAAAAGGTATGGTTGTGAATCAAGAGAAGAGGAACAATCATAGCCACACCTAAAACTAAAGAAACGTATTAAATATGAATTTCTTCATGAAAAATTACAACAACTAATTTCGGTTTCTCGCTTGATAATAAAAGACTTGTACTTCACAAAAGTGATGTGAATGGGAATTTATTCAACTAAAACTATTTTCTTGCATGTTTTAATCTCTTTTTTACGTCAGGCTTAAGTGTTGGAACAGCTCATTTATCGATATACATGTTGATAGATCTTCGTTAAACACGAGTCAAAATAGATCTTTTAGCTATCCAGAATTCTGTGTGAATCTTCATCAAAAACAAGTTTTGTATTTGGTTGAAGAACAGCCGAACAAGTTCAGCATGTCCTCAAAAAATACTCTAGCGATCGTGGTCTCTTCTCAAAACCATTTTCTACTGCATTAAAATACAGCTTAATACAAAATTGAATTCCCTTCGATTTTACAAGTAAACATGTTCTTCTAAACAGAAGAAACAATGATTGACGGGCTTCAGTGAAGCTCGCTCGAGAATTCTGAATTGTTTGATGAAAAAAGTTTGAAACGAGAAAAAACAAACAATTCATCGTTTGGACATTTTAAAATGAAATATTTGACTTTATATGAGAATACTATCGATTTATTTTAGCTGAGAAAACGAAAAGCATTCAAAAGGTTTTATAAAAATAATGGTTCTATCAGCAAACATGTTCATTTTGGAATTACATAGTTTCAATTTTACAATCATATGTTCATGACAGCATCGATTTTTATCGAAAACAAGAGAACAAAATGGAAAGCATTCAAAGAAAATCTTGTCGAGTGAATTATGAAACCACAGATTTTCGATAATAAAATCATTCACTGACCTTATTATTGAGATTTTTTGACAATGATCAACTTCTCTTAAGTGAAGGGAAGGGCTTGATTCACTTTCGAACCACTTCATAATCTCTTTTACAATAGTCAAGTCAATCATAAGCATTTGTATTTAAAGCATCATTCTATTTGCTTTTTAAATGTGAGATTTCTGTCTTGGAATCAAAAAGATGAAATTCATCATTGAAAGTATCATTTAAAAAAAATCGAACATAACGATAGCAAGGTAACTGTAGTTTTTTTTCGAAAAACTACACTGCTACACTTAATGATTGTCGATTGTTAGTTTTTCGTATTTGTCTTTACTTTACCATGACAAAACAAAAAGAAACAGAAAGTTGCTAAAAGAAATACAACTTCTTTTTTTTTTAATGCTAAAAAGCAAACAAGAAAATTGCTCGATCATCACATGATCAATGCCATCTAAAAGCTTTAAGGCGTCGTTTTTCGTTTGTTGATTGTCCGTTTATTATTTTTGCATCTATATACATCAATCCTTCACATACATACATTTAGTTTGTTGTTAACCATTTCGTTTCTCAACATACAACGAATTGCACACAATGACAGTAAGTTAAAGGAAAAAGAATTTAGATATGCTAAGTAATCTAAACATATATCTTCTTTTAAGACCATAGAGACAACACCTCGTTATCGAAATTTTTCAAATAATATGCCGTCATCATTAAATGCAAATCCTAATGCATCATCGTCATTAATAACTGTTGAAAAAGAACCTGAACGTGATCCTGAATACGATTGTTTTATGTGTCGTCAAGCACATGTTTATATAAAACCAATTGGTATGGAACAAGAACGTCGTGTAGCACGTCATCATCCACCACCATTGTCGCGTGCACAAATAGATGAATTAAGTCGAAAAAAAAATTTAACAAAACAAGAAGCAAGAAAATTATTACAATGTTATTTTCCTGAAATAAAAAATGTTAAATATTTTCAATTACATAAATATCATTCATGTTGTTATGATCCAAAACATTTAAACTTATGTAAAAATCATATAACAGCATTACAACATGAACGTGAACAATATCATGATCATCATCAAAATCAAGATGAACATAATCATAATAATTATAAAGATTATGAAAGAGAAGACGAACCACACAATAGAGTTAGTTTTGTACGGTAAGATAAGAATTATTATTTATAATAAAATCCCAAAAGAATATTTCAATGATTTTAGAATTAAAATTGAACCAACGAAAGGTATACCAACAAGATTTCTTGGTCCAACAGCTCTACCTGAATCACTTGCTGAGATGCTCATCAAACAGGTGTGTTATTTTATTTGAAAGTGTGTTTTTTTTTAAATAACTTCTTATTTAAAATTTTAGGTTAATCGCCTAGAAAATAAAAAGATACCACCATCATTTAATTCAAATCAGACAATAGAACCATATAATATTAGACGAGTAAACATTCCTCATGGTAGGAAATTATTAATATCATAAACTATTTTTCTTTTCTTTTATATTAAAGTTATCATGAATTTTAACAGTCAATTTTTGTAAATCATTATTTTATTTAGGTTCAGATGACGATAATGACGAAGACGATGGCGATGATGATGATGATAATGAAGGTCATACTGATGATGATCAAACAACACATGTTAAAGGTAAAATAATGACGGAATCTACTGTAAATTATGAAAATAATAAGCAAGAAAAGACAAGATTAGAAAAAAAATCAACAAATGGTGATTTAATAGTTGAAGATTTACATGAATTAAATCGTTTATATGTTAATCATCAAGATCTAACAGATGTTGATGAAAATCGCGACATTTTTTCGAAACAATTAAAAAAGAAAAGACGAAAAAAAGGAACAAAGAAAAAAAATCTTCATGAACATCATAAATCAAAATTAAATCATTGGGAATTATTGGCATTACAACAAGACAAAAAAGATGCATGTAATTGTCGTCATCATGTTATGCATCTTGAAAATAATCAAGTTGTTTACGATTGGTGTCGATGTAAAGATCATCAACATAAAGAATTAATCGAAAGACGTAAATCAATTGTACTGCCACCACTACTACCATCACCACCACCTCCTCAACAATCAACTGTACCTCCTCCGCCACCACCTCCACCAAAATCACGCCCAAAACCACGTAAAGTACGCAAGAAATCGATTGGTATCGATGCAACAGAACCAACATCGACTCAACTTGCTCTAGCTTACGATCCATCAGCAGTTGATTATGATATGATTCAAGAAGTAATCTATTATCGAACAGCATCAGGACGATTGGTAAAATATTCTTTTTTTCTGTTAGATATCTAAATATTCGTTTTAATTAATTTATTTATTTATAGATCAAACCTGCAACGACTAATGCTTTTACTTATGATAGTCTACCTTCATCAATGATGATCAATCATCAAGAACCACGTTCAAACAAAGCTGAAGTTTTATATATGACACCTAATGGTAAATTCCAACCACTCGAAGATGCTGGACGTAACCGAGGAAAACGTATGTTTTAAAGTTAACTATAATGTTTTGATTCTCTTCAGGGCTACATATATATATATATCGTTCTCTAGTCATAGTTACTTTTCATCATATTTTATTTAATCATTCTTTATATATGTTGATCTTTCATTTTCAGCAAAGACAATTATTCTATCAAAACCAGGTTCATTATATAATGGTCAAGCATTGATTGATACTGAACATACATCATCAAATAATGGAAATTCGAATACTATGCCTGTATTAAAATTACCTCCAGCATTGAAACCATCAAGGCAACATTCACGTGATAATAATAAGGAATATCAACCGGCAGAATTTACATTAGCAAAATTTTCTTCTGATAAATCTGTAGGTACACCGGATTCAGAAGGAAAATTAAGAACTGTTTCAATGTCAATGCAAAAAGTTAGATTAAATTAATTCAAATTAGATGTTATTTTCATTGTTTTATTTATTAGAGTACAAAACCAACCTATAGTAATCAAAATCCAACACCTGATTATGGACGTGAATCAAGTGTTGTTGCTAATCGTCGTTGGTTTGATCAACCACTTGGCGATCAAAATTTACGTCCAGTACATGATGGCCAATATGGTTTAATTGCTGGAACATCAACAGATACATATCAATCGAAAGCTAAATTATCTGAAAATAATAATAATAATAATATTAATACAAAATCAGACGCACCAGTAAATATATGAATTAATTGCAAAAAATGAAAAAAATTAATTTTGTTTTTTTTCTAGAAAAATGGCAGTAATTGCACAATATCATAATTATAAATATTTATATTCGCTTTTTTCAAAGCTATACATAAAAATAATAAATATCACTTGAAAGTTTTTTTTCTGTTTATTTTGGAACAAGAACATAAAGAAATTTGTATTTGTTCTTAGTTGTTCTATTGTTCGTGCTCATATAAATTCTATAATAGGTTGTCGATTTTATGTACTGAAAAGAAGTTATTTTTAAAAAAATAATATTGTATGATTAATATATAGAGCTCGATAGGTAACAGAAAGACAATGATGGAAATATTTATATCAATTTAATCTAAACTTAAAGAAAGAGAACGAACAACGCCGTCACCTTACACGAAGGAACTACTTGAACTATTAATGGCAGTTTGAGTTCATACTGCACCTATAAGAAAGTTGTCGTAGGATTAGAAAAAGATCAAAAGAGTTTGTATCCATGGACCTTTTCTGCTGAGTTATGACCGTTTTACTGTATTTTTTATCCACTTTTAGATATTTACTGGAAAATCAAACAATATTATTTTCATCTAAAATTGAGCGCATAGATAGATTTAATGATCTTTAGAATATCTTGAAAGTTTTAACTGAAAAGAATGTTCAGTTGTCGAGTTATTAAATTTCCACGTCAGCTCAATTTTTGTGACAAGCGACCATTTATTAGAAATTCAATGTATCGACAAAAAGATATTCATTTCGGTTGAAACTTTCAAAATATTGTAAAGGTCATAAGGCCTATCTATGGGTTAAATTTCAGATCGAAATATCATTATTTGGTTTTCCAGTAAATACTTAAAAATGGGTTGAAAATTCATTAAAATGGTCACAACTAGGCTCCAGAGGCTCATGGATATAAAATTCTTTAAAATTTTTCTAATCTAACCGAGACCTCCTTGTAGATTCAAAATGAGTTCATAGGTCGGATTATAGTTGAGGTAGTTCTTTCGTCAGCCACGATATCTATCTATATTCAAATTGTGCCAGAAATATCACTGGTACAGAAAGCATAAGAAATAGTCTATATATATATATTAATACAATTGAACGAATTAGACTATGACTATGGTATATATGTATTTTTGATAATGTTAATGGTAAACATCTGCTAGATTGCAATGTTAAATACATTATTAAATGTAGTTAACACATCATTTTTATCAAAATTATCAGTATAAATATAAAAATGTATCACTCTATAGATTAATAAAGTAAAAGATGTCGAAAATATGAATAATGTTCAGCTAATTGATTTAGTTATAAATTGTGTTTTAGCTTTTTGATGTTGATAATTAACACAACAAAAAAAGTGTGAATCGAATATAACAAGACATGTTATTAATAAAATTTATGTTTAGCACGTAATAGCAAATTTTACTTGATGATCATCTGTTAATATTGGTGTTGCTCGTAATGTAATTATAGTTCTTTTTTGTTATTAGTGGTACATTCAACAAGTTTGATGTGTTCAATCTAATGTTATTAACGTTAAAAGACAGGAAGAAAACTGTAATTATACATATATTATAAATCGATGAACACAGTATATAACTGATATTGTCGCACGTACATGGAAACCTAACAGAAAAAAAAGAAAACAATCTTAGTGTTCAAAAGATGTTTATCTTTTGTAATCTAATTTAAAAATGCTAATACTAATAAAAGATCATCTGCATATATTATTGGTTAAATCAACAAGAGCAATAGAAAAAAAGGTTATGCGATGAACATGTACAGTACAGAATCAAAACAATTCTTTCGATTTTCATAGGAATATATCGCTTTTTTACTTTCTATATATTCAAATGAAAATTTTTTGTTAGCGAGTACTTCTCTGTAACACTTCTTTATGGAAAGATATATGAATAAAGACATATTAAAAAAAGTTTATGATATAATACAGGATGTTCCGAAAGTCTACTGGCCAAAAAAGAACTTGAATAACTTTTGAACAATGCAAGCATTATCCGTAAACTTTCAAATAATATAATACTGCGACTTTTACATTCTAATTTTGCATAATTTCAGTGACACCTCTTGTGCAAAATGCGTCTATGAAATTGAAACATGGAACTTCTTATTGTTGTTTCAACGTAATCTTTAGTCGACATCATTTTTCATGCGTTCCCATAGGAAAAAATTTGAATGGCACTAAGTAAGATGACCATGGAGTTAATTGAACACAATCATCTTTTTAAATCCCCTATGGTAGGAAAAATATTGCTCAGAAATTGATGTTTTATCGTCGATATTTAGAAAAGTTTCATTTTTTTGAGCTATTGGCTGAATTCTCTCACAACTCAATATACCATTGAACAAATTTTGCGAACAGTCAGAACACTTAATGCCAATATACTTTCACTGTCGACACGAACTTCAGCAATTTTTCTGGTTTCATTACTGTTAGACGTTCAGTATGTGCTAGGTCTATGACAATATTAATTCCATAAAAATATAAAGAGAACTCATTGAGATCATCTTGATTTGGTGTTTCTTGGTTAAAGTTGACTAGGAACATTCGTCTCACAATTGTAGGTGATATAAATTTGACGGCAAATAGAATAATTTGTATTCTAATGTTCATAAGCTGTCATGACTAAGTGTCCACGTTTGTTCGACGCATATCCAAAAGCTACTGTGTGCAAATTTTAGTACTATCAGCTATAGAATGACCTAGAGCAAGTCGCTAATGACTGTTTGTCTCGGATTACTCGTCCTATAACATGTTGACTATATTGCGACATACATCTGCTCTTTTGGTTAATTAGTGTACACAGAAAGTTCAAGCCATTGAATGCAAGAACTCTGCGTCAGATTGGTCTTCTGTTTAGAGTTACAGCGAGTATTAATTGCATGGAAGATATCGAGCTACCGAATCTCCCACTAGACAATACTTCATACCGCAAAGTAGCCGAAACGCAAGGGTATTCTTTCTCTTTCTTCATAATGTTCATAGGTATAGTCATTTTATCTGAAATTTGCTCAGTGAAACTTGAGTGAGTATGAAATTAAATGATGAAAGTAACATGTAAATAGATTCAACAGCTGAAGAGTTATTGACATTTTATTTTTCGGTAAATTCTGAAACATTCTATATATCAAAATAATCTAGTATCCATCCATTTTATCATAATTGATTTTTAAATAGAGATGTTTCTATTTTGCCATACAAAGCTAAATTAAATCGATTCGATTCTTTGTATTTTAAACTATACATATAATAGATGTTCACTGTTTTATAGACAATCATTAATTTTTTTCTGAATCATCATAAAAAAAAAGATCACATAAGCTATTAAAAATTTCAACATTCATAATTCGATTTAGACTTCAACATGAATAAAAATATTCTCTTTATTGACTATAGTTTTTTTCCAAAATTTTGAAGAAAAATATTATATTTATAAATATAATATGTATACATGGTGAAAAAAGTTGTTTAGAATGCTTTTTTTAGTTCATTAATGACCAATTTTTATTTTTTAATGAAAGATATTCAGCACGAAGCTGAATAAGAGATTCATTCAGTTTAACAGTAGAACATAAACATACTTATTGACTTCCAAATTAAAACAGATTGAAATCTTCTTTGTACTGTATATTGTCTGTGACAGAAAAACAAAGATTGTTCATAAAAATATGCAAGTTCTACATTAAGCACAGTCTATTTAAAATAGATTAAAGAAAAATAAAGTTCTCTAATCAAGATTATAAATAAAGATTCATTACTAGTATAGTAGAAAGTAAAGAAAAGAATATTGCGAGATAAAATCGTGTAAATCTACCATCTTATCAGATTTTATTTTCAATAGGTTAGAAAGATAGAGCACGAAATTCTACATAATTCCATGTATTTATCATTTGTTTTCTTTAATGCGAAAAACTAACTTTCGTGGACTAAATACTCTTAGCGAGTCTATCAATTTTGAGAGTTTTGAATAATAACTATGGTACCCGTAACTCTTCTATTATAAAACTAATATGAAAACCACTAATGTAGATCAACATAGTTTTTCATACTCTACAAACTGGCATGTCAGGTAGTTTATGCAGGGTCAGACATCTGACTTTGCATATACTAAACGATATGTCTTTTTGTAGAATATAAAAAACTGTATCGATCTACACCATTAGTCTTCAAATTTAGTTTATAATAGAAAGTTCACGAGTATCATAGTTATTGTTTCGAAACGTCCAAAAATTGATACATTCCTTAAGACTATTTCGTCTACGAAAAGTTCCTGTTTTCTTCAACCAAAACCAAAATAAGTCGACAGAGATATACAGAATTGTATGCTCTATCTTTCTATTCTATTGAAAATGACACATAAGTGAATTTCAGATTTACGATCTGATCTGATTGGATGTACTGAATTCAAGGTGCCCATATAATAAGTCAGTTGTCAGTGGAATACCTGTTCGGGTGCTCTGTTATCAGTATATCCCAGAATTTTGGTTGGGTGCCATGCTGAAAATTGTCTCAGTACATAGGTATTTACTAGATATTTGCTTAACCCTGTGGTATTGAGCGTGGCATATATACTACTTCGAGTATTTCTCAAAGTTCGGATATAATATATATACCAAATCAATCAAAAGTATGTGGAAATAGTCTACATTATTGATTATGCATAATCAATTGTTTCAAAGTTTATCATACCCTAAAACACTTTTCATAATGACTTTTAATTGAATAAACATCTATTTTCACTTATATAAAAAGCTTTATTTTTTCAAAAAGACCCGGCACCAAAGGCTTAATTTCTACGCTTTTCTATAAAAAAAACTTTTCAATAAGTTAGTAGATTGAACATTTAGAAGCATGATGTAGTCAAATATTAAAAATCTACACAGTTTTCAAATGTTTCTGTGACATTCTAGTAGCACAAACTCTTGTGGGTACTCTGCATTTAATAAATTCACTAAGGTATCCGGTAGTGTGCTTAATGATACAAGAGAAAACTAATTTCATCTATATTCATACTACTGTCATCTTCTTGAAGCCCTGTAGTAAACAAGGAAGA